ACTCGATTCTCTATAAGTATTTAATAACTGCTAATCTGGAGCAAGTACGAAATTGAAACTTTCGCAAGACTGAGAAAATTGCCCCTGATTGGGTCACTTTTAATGCAAACCCGTGGATCCAACTTTTGTCTTGAAGCGACTTGCATCTTCTTATATGACTTTTAGCTTCAACAGCAGCTGTAGAAGGAACATGCAATTCAGGAGACCGCAGGTACTGCTATATGGTCTCTTTTGTCGTTGGCTGATCTAAAGTTATATTTAATTATTTCTGGTGGTTTAAACGGTTTTCATTTGTGCTTTTTAAATATTTTTTCAAACTTGTCCTGGTATATGTGAGAAGGAAAAAGAGCCTTTGACTTTCAACAGTTTCTTATGGGATCGAAGGCAGATATTTCATTCGTGATTTCGTAGGATTGCAAGCAACTTGAACTGACGCAATCAATGTACTATGGCAGGTCAAAAATATAATGAATATAAAAGTAAGAAATCATTAGAATCAAAAATATCTAAAGCAAACAAAACATTGCTATTGAGCTCTTCTCGAAATATTTCTCTATGAACTGTAGATGTAAAAAAGATGACAATTTATGGCCGGGAATATTCAACTATGTCTTTACCTTAGAAGCACATTATTTAAATTTTTAATTACGACCACAAACAGGTCTGAAATAAAACTGCTTCCAAAATAAAAGTCTCAGAACATATACTTTTACGTCTCATTAATAGAAAAAATGGATGTCTCCGATTTATTCCTTTAAAAGCAAAACAAACGTTCCTCAAATAAACGAAGGTTACGAAATCATTTGCATTTATACTATAATTTCTGAACGATAAGGCCAATCTCCTATGTAACAATTCGCCAAGTGATGATATCAGCCTGTCGGCCTTGGTGAAATTAAAAGATGATGCTAATCCGATTTCTAATGTAAATCTGTAGACTTATAAGAAGAATCAATATATGGATACAGGGTTGTAACAAAATGATTAGTTCAATCAAATACCAGAATGTCAGTTTATGGACACAATCTCACATGGTTTATAATTTAATAATCTATTTTTCATTTAGAAATTGTAATTGCATTTTCAGCAACGATAGTTTTTAACGTACAGAGTATCCTGTAAGCACATGATCAAAAAGGCACTGAGACTCAAATTACAACCTAAGGTTTATTAAAAAAATGTCCGGTTTCTCTGCTATTGATCGTCAAAGTTCTTCCAAAAAAATCTGTTTTTTGAAATATGGGAAGAATGGTACAATGGGTTTTCAAAAAAAAAACTTGCTGTGAATTTGTTTCTATGCAAGCCACCGAGCTCAGCGGCTTTGGGTAAATGAATAATTCTTGAGTGTGTTGGTACAAAACCAAGAACCTTTAATATGGTTGGTGCAATCAACTTATTTTTTTCCGTTCTTAATCTTGTAGCATTCATAGCTATTTCAGACATTAACTGCAAACGTGGCAGTAAGCGGTAGGTAATGTTCTTATATTTAATAAATTAATTGTCAAGCGTTTTATAATTTCTAACTGATCGAATGGTCAACTCTTAGGCCGGTCGTCTTTTGGAGGGGTTTTCGTCCGAATTGCGTCATCAGAAATCTGCAAGAATAAAGAAGAAGAAAGTTTTGTGCAAAACATGTCCCGGGCGTATTAAAAAATCCTCAAATCGTTTCGCTGAAACCCATCTGAGGGTTTTCCCAATATCCGCAAAACTTTATTTAAATCTTGTTAATGATAAACAATAGTGAGTGTCTAAAATTGTGAGTTCCCAAGAGAACAGAAATATTTTTTTCTGCAAAAACTATTAATGTTACAAGATGTTACAAAGAGGACATTGTCATGCATCCACTCAAAAACATCCAGATGATTCCGGCTATCAAATAAGCACTTCTGATAGTTTTTGTACCAAGACACTCAAGAATTCCTCACTTGTCCAAAGCGGATGAACTCGGTTACTTCAATAGAACATGGGTCTTATACAGGAACAAATTCACAGCGAGTTGGTCTCGATTCATTAAAAGCCATCGTACCATTCGTCCGATTTTTCAAGAAAACGTAATTTTCTCGAAGAACTTTGATCATCAATAGCAGAGGAGCCAGATATGTTGTCTGAGTAAAAGTGGTCAGATCGTGTTCTTTTCATCCAAAGAATATCGCAGTATTCTTTTGATTACGTGCTTACGGGAGACCTTGCATCTTATAATAGCGAAATTCGTGTAAAAAGGTAAGGTACTTAAAATTTCAATATCACATTAATTATGCCATTTCTGTTTGTTTGGAAATAAAAAGCTACTCTTATTGAGTGGCGTCATTCTTCGGAAATGGGTATGGAGTACGCAAAATAACTCGTACCAAAAGCTGATCAATTTGCAAACATTAAAGCAGAAACAAGCCGACAGAATTTTAATTTTCAGCTGAGATCGACGTTTATTTCATTCATTAACATTTCAAAAATACTGACTGCGTCGTCTGTTATTTAATAACAGACAAGGATGGAAGTCAAACGCATATTTACAAGAAACTAATTAAATTATTTTGTTTAAACTGGAAACTTATCTCTGTTATCAGCTTAGATGGATTCTAAGTTTCAAAATGATATTTTCTTCAATGAAGTTCCCAAAGCAGTAACTGAATGGGAGTACATGGTTGCATTCAACATAGTATTCAAGTTGTACTAAGGTTGGGATCTGGTAGACCAGTGTTGTGTTGATTATTTCACTCATCCATAGCAACGCCATAGGGCAAAAAAGGTATTAATAAACGGTAATTCGATAATTTTCAAAAAAACTTACAGCGATTAGTTCACTCATCCATAGCAACGCCATAAGGCAAAAAAGGTATTAATAAACGGTAATTCGATAATTTTCAAAAAAACTTACAGCGATTATTTCACTCACCCATAGCAACGCCATAGGGCAAAAAGGGTATTAATAAACGGTAATTCGATAATTTTCAAAAAAACTTTCAAAAAATTCAAAAATAATTTCACGTCGTCATGGAATCATAATAAATATCACTGTTGACTGATTTATTTAATGTGATTGATGTGAAATATATTCTTAAAAATTAATAAAAATGAATCGTTTTGGAGATATTCCCGACGAATACATTGATAAATTGGTGGTTAGCAGCGAACCGACAAACACCGCAAAAAGTAAGAAGTACTTTTGGAAACAATTTATATCTTTTTGTGCGGAAAAACATTATAACATGGATCGAGATACTCCAATCTCGGAACTTGCATCTATTTTAAAAAGCTGTGCTTACAACATGCGTAAACAAAATGGAGAGGAATACAAAGAACACACTGTTAAAACCATCTGAAACGTCACAGCTAGTCTATTGATGGAGAAATGTTTTAAGGAGTATGGAATAAAAATAAATCCGTTTGAGCAAATCGAATTTAAATCAGCGCGAGATGCAAGAAATGCAAAACGAAGAGAATTACAAGGTTGTGAAAATAAACGTAAGCAATCTGCGAGTTTCCTACCTTTTAATGAATTGAAAAGGCTGATTACTAGTTGTAATGAAGAAACCCCCGAAGGACTGCAGAAAAAGGTATTTTTTTCTCTTTCCTATGAACAAATGGGCTTTTTTAAAGAAGAATTGCACATTAACGGGGAAAAACTGGCAGAATTGAGTACAATCTTGTATTTGCAAAAACCACACAAGGAGGCGAAAAAAAATGTGCCGATCCCAAATTGTTAGTCAAAAACAATCCAAAGTCAGCATTTGTCCTGTAAGGCTGTTTTTTAAATTGAAAGAAAAACGAGGAGAAACAATCCACACTGGAAACAAACTGGACACTGGTACAAAAACAGTCCCGTAGGACCAAACCAGATCTCG